CTATAAGAGCTCATTCCTCGGACAATTCTCCTTTGAAATTTATTCACACCTCCAGTTTGATAGTACAATTCATTGGTATGATTACCGAAAAATCCTATCGTCTGTTGGTATGACCCCCCAGGTATAACGATGTCTTTTGACGAACCCGTTTTCTTCTTAGGGTGTAAAGCCTTGTTGGCATTCTCAGGACAATTTATGGTTGCCATCGAGTGATCTAAGGTTATGTCAGAATAACACGTTTAGAACCACCCCTTTACGGGTGCGGAGTCTTAACAGGATCCTGAATTTCATTACAAGCCCCCAAGCGGGTGAAAATTAAAATTTTCCCAACTTGGAATTACTTTGGGTTGGTGGGAGGACGTGTATGACTCCCAGCCTGACAAATCATTTGGATTTTGTTCACCGGACCCAAGCGTTCTTTGACCGGAGCTTTGCCTTGATCTTCATGCAAAGTACAAAAGCTGGCAAGGGGAGGCCTCGGCAACAATTGGGTGAGAGTCTTCACCTTGGGCCTTCTTTAGTATGTAAGCCTTCTTCAATGGTGAGATCCTCTTGTACTTGCCCGATAATGGAGATCTTGAAGAGGATGATGAGAGATATTACTCAAATTTGGTTTTGTCGAACTCGTACTCGACCGTTGATTCAATCAGTATCTTGATCGGCTGCGACACGTCGGTCTCGGTAGCGAGACCGTTAGCTCCCACTGTGGTCACCAGTTTGTTGGCGCCAGAAACAAGTTTTATTGTAGAATTCATTATAACTGTTTATCGATTATAATGAATACAAAAGAGTAAGCTTCGTACTTTGTAAAACTACACTTTACAACAAAAATTAAATTACAAGCTCCTTAGAAACAAACACTGGATTGTTATTTGGATCGCTGCTTGCGCTGGATCTTTGCATGTGCCGGGGGTGCGTTAGCCCGTGGACCACCGATTCACAGATTCTGATTGAATCGTGAAGGCTTTTGGATATTCTTCTTTGTTTATCGAAGTAAGAATCTTAAGCGAATATCTTATCGATATAAGATGTTCACTCTTCCAAAGATCAAGTCAGAGCTTAGATCTCTAGGAATCGCCAAAAGCTTCTTGAGGATGTTTGTGAAGAATGACGACTCTCTCTTGCTCAAATTCACAAAAAGCTCAAGTCTCTCAGCTATATTCTGCTCCCTCTCTTTTGTTTCGTGTCTAGAGAGGTATTTATAGGGATATGGGTGCACAAAATTGGAAATAAAAGCAATATAATTGACCTAGTGTACGCTCTTTGGGCACGTCAGTATACACTGTCGCTGCTATTAGCGCGGCAGCGTGGGCTGGCACGGCCAAAGAGACAGTTTCTGCCATGTTCCAACATGTTCAAAACCGTTCTCCCATGACTTTTAGCCACTTTTTTCATGGTTTAACTGTTTATCCATGCCAGTACATGTTTTCTTTCTGGTATGCTGCCACGTGGACCTTCAAGAGATCTTAAAAATTACCAACAATTTACATAAGAGGCTACTCTACAGTTTACGCATCACCCTTTGCTGCCGCACCTTTGGCACGTCACCATGGACTGTCACGCCTTAGGCGCGTCACCATGGACTGTCGCACCTTAGGCGCGTCACCATGGGTTGTCGCGCCTTAGGCGCGTCATTATGGGTTGTCGCGCCTATGCACGTCGCCTGTCAGTGTATTTTGTTGTTGATATGCACATTGTTCTTCTATGTTGTTTCGCTTCCTTTGGATAATCCCCCCTGATTAAGATAATGACGTTTATCATCTTCTCTTTGTCTTGAGCAGTATTTGGATGCACGTAAGTATTTTTTGACACCTACATATATGATACGGCTCCAATGCGCTCAATAATCCTGAACGGACCAATATACCTCGCGACAAGCTTTCCCCGCCTGCTAAATCACTGAACTCCTTCATCAGCGATACTTTTAATAAAACATAATCCTCAAGCTTGGACTCTAACGGTCATCGCCTCTGATCTGCATAACTCTTCTACCGACTCTGTGCTGCAAGAATAAGCTCTCGAATTTGTGCTACCTTCTCTAGAGTCTGTCTTACGAGTTTTGGTCTAAGCAACAAGGTGTCCTCTGGTTTTTCCTAGCAAATAGGGGATCTACAAGGCCTTCTGTATGATGCCTCATACGGTACCATACCTATCATCGCTTGATAACTGTTATTATAAGTGAACTCAATCACTGAAATATGATCCTCCTAGTTGCCCTGGAAATCAATAACGCACGTTCGTAACATATCTTCCAATACTTGGTTGACTCTCTCTGTCTGTCCATCTGTCCATCTGTCTGTGGGTAGAACATACTAGAATACGATAACTGGCTACCGGAAGAATTTTGGAAGCTCCTCCATAGTTTTGAACTAAAAACTGAGCCTCAGTCTGATATAATCATTTTTGGAACTCCATGCAATCTCACGATCTCTCGAATGAATATCCTCACATGAGTCTCCACCGTGTATGTCATCTTTTCTAGTATGAAATGTGTCGACTTCGTCAACCAATCAACAATTACCCAAACAGAATCATTCTTCTTCTTCGACCTAGGCAGTCCTATAATAAAATACATAAAAATATCTGCCCACTTTTACTCCAGAATAAGTAAAGGTTGTAGGGTTTCTGTGGGTCTCTAATGTTCTATCTTCACTTACTGACAGGTAAAACACTTAGCCACATACTCTGCAATCTCCCTACACATGTTTCTCCACCAAAAATATCTTTTCAAGTCCTTGTACATTTTTGTTATGCCTGGATGCACTGTGTACCTGGTACGATGCACCATATAAAATAAGTGCTTCTTCAGCTGCAGATTTCCTGGCATCACAAATCAGCCCTTTATTCGAAGGCCTCCATTTGCTCTAATTGTCCAATCAGTCTTGGTCTCTTTGGAAATCTCCGCCTTTCGGATTTGAATCCAAGAGTCCTCTAACTAAGCTCTGACCACTCTATCAGTCTAAGATAGTTACACGGACAAAGCTCCCAAAAATACGCTACTCCCTCCAATCTCCAGCCTAAAGTCAAACTGGCTAAGGGTGTGAAGATCTCGATACAAATAGCACCTCAAAGCTGCAATCTGATGCTAACGCTTTCTGCTCAACACATCCGCTACCACATTTGCCTTACCCGGATGATACTGAATCACATATTCATAATCCTTAATAAAATCAACCTATCATCGCTATCTCTAATTTAGCTCCTTCTAGGAGAAAATGTACTTCAAATTCTGGTGATCCATGAATAGATCGAACTTTACTCTATACAGGTAACAACTCCATGTCTTCAGTGTGAAGACTACTATTGCTAGCTCGAAGTCACGCGTGAGATAATTCTGCTCATGCGTCCTTAACTACCATGAGATATATGCTATCACTCTCTGGGTCTGCATCAAAACACCTTCTAGACCCGATACGATGCGCTCGTGTAGACGATAAAAGTCTTATCACTGTTCAGAATAGTCAATAACGACGCTGTAGTCAACTTAGCCTTTAAAGTCTCAAAGGCTTCCTGGCATGTGCCAAACAAATGGTATACCCTTCTTCATAAGGCATGTAAACAGTGTCATAATCTTTAAGAATTCTTGAATGAACTTTCTGTAATAGCTGATCAAATCCAAGAAACTATAGGTCTTCGTAACAGTCTTCAGTGGCTCCCAATCCAGTACTGCCTCAACCTTAGCTGGATCCACTATAATGCCCTCCTTGCTGATAACATGGCCTAAAAAAATCTGACATCAGATAGCCAAAACTCACACTAGCTAAACTTGGCATACAATTGATGCTCCAGCAAAGTCTGCAATGCCAATCAGGTGTTGCTCGTGTTCTGCCTCCGATCTCGAATAGATGATGATCTCATTGATAAATACAAACACGAACTGGTCAAAGTATAGTCAGAAAACCAGATTCATCAAGTTTATGAATACAACAGGTGCATTGATCAGCCAAAATGGCATGACAAGAAACTCAAAAGACCCTTATCAAGTCAGAAAGGCGGTCTTGGTAATATCCATCTCCCAAACCTGTAACTAATAATAACCAGAATGAAGATCAATCTTTGAGAAATGTTACGCTCCCTATAGCTGGTTGAATAAGTCATCAATCATCGGTAGTGGATACCTGTTGCGAATAGTGACCTTATTCAACTCATGATAATAATACATAAACGCATACTACCGTCCATCTTCTTCACAAAAAGGACTGACGCTCCCCACGGAGAATGACTTTGGAGAATAAAGCCCAGAGATAACAACTCATCAAATTGATTATGTATCCCCCTCATCTCAGCAGGTGCCATAAGATAGGGTGCTCGGTGTTGTGCTTGGCTGCAACTCAATGCAAAGCTCAACCGCTCGCATAGTAGGTAACCCAGGTATATCCTGAAAGACGTCTGATAATCTGAGACAACTCTAGTTTCACCAAAATCAGCACTCTAATCCCTCAGCATCACCTCCTCAATGTATGTCAGAAATGACTTCGCAAATTGGTGGCCATGCGAGGTTGCTATGATCAACTCAGACCCATCGGACGCCCGTAAGCTGACTGTTTTAGCAAAATAGTCGATACTGACATGATAGGATGATAGCCAATCCATTTCTAGAATAATGTAAAAATTTGACATCTGCAAAATGATCAAATTGATGATAAACTAGGACTAATCTAGACTGATGACACATCTCTTACAAATACTCTCTAATAGGGATACCTCCCCTAAGAGTGTAGAGATGGATAACGATGCATTTAAGGGATATGCAACTAATAGAAGCCTATTCATAAAGGTGTGAGAAATAAAAGAATGGGAAGCTCCTGAATCAAATAAGATCCGAGCTAGAAAGGAATTCACTAAGAAAGTATCTTCCACTATAGCTCTACTCACACCATGATCACGTGGTACGACTGCATAAACCCTGCTGGTGGCTGGCGACTTCTAAACTACTGACGGTGGAATATATGTGACTGTCTGTCCTTTAGGAATCTCCTGGATAACGCGAATCTAGCCTAATGGCCCCTCAATCCTTGGAACGACATGTGATGCCTCAATCCTCTGTTGCTGGCCGTAATCACGGCCCTGCTGCTGGCCCTGGGCTCTGCCCTGCTGACCTCCTGCTGGTGCACTGTGACAATCCTTGGTCTAATGACCGATCTTGTTATAGTTGTAACAAGATGACGCGCAAGTCATTGGTGTTGCCTTTGGCGTGCCCTCTTCAATAGGATTGACGCGCCTTCAGTACTTAACTCCCTAATTGAGGAGGAGTTCAGATCTGCAGATCCGATCTTATTAGAAGCCGGAGGGGTGTTATAAGGTACAGCTATCGTAGCATCAGGTGTGTTGATCTTCCTATGCTTACGAGTCGAGGAGGATCTGGAGGAGGAGGATGATAGATACTCCTCATACTTCCGATGGTCGAACTCGCACTTAACCTTTTCTTCAATCCGGATCTAGATCTGAGGTTGTGACACGTCAGCCTTCACAGAAAGGCTGTCGGTTCTCACTATGGTCGCCAGTTTGTTCTTGTCAAAAGTTTGCTTTCTTCATTGTATAACTCATTATAACTTTGGTCGTTACAATAAGTTCAAAACATTGGTCTTTTTATAAGACTCTTTACACAATAAAAGAAATAAAAATTACAACTCTATCAAACAAACGCAGAGAGATCGTTTATTGGTCTTCTGCTTGTGCGGGATCTTTGCCTGTACCGGGATTTTAATATTCGTGGACCGCCTTAGATTTTGATCCGGTTGATGGGAAATTGAGTAGAGCTTCACCTTCACCGAGGGAGTATTTGATTTGAAGCATTAAGATCGAACAAGCAAAATCAGCACTCTTCTCGAGATTAAGACCAAGCCTAATCTCAAGGAACGGTAGGAGTAGGCTTCAGATCCTTCGAATAGTTCCTTCTTTATGCTAGTTGGCCGGGATCTCGTTAACCCTCGCTGAAATTCATGGCTCTTGGCTCTGGAGTTCGACAGCACCTTCTCGTCTTGATAATAAATCTCCCCCCGTGAAATGAGCACCAAGGCATGTATTTATAGGCTTTGGTTAAGGGTTTTCGGATAAGAATGGATGATTTGACCTTATCTTCGGTTAATAACGACCTAACCATGTTTATAGATGATATCAAATTAGTTGGGAACCCCTGGAATGGATAAAAACCGAGAAAACCGATCAAAACCATCGAAAACGCGTCCGGGGGTTGAAAACAGCGCGGGAGGCATGGCATGGTCTGACACGTGCCTGCACAGGTCGGTCAGATCCGACCCACGCGAGCGCGGGTTGGATTCGTCCGACCCGTACGAGCGCGGGTCGGATTTGCCTGACCCCCGCGAGCGCGGGTCAGATTTGTCCGATCCGCGTGGGCACGTGAAACTTGGCCTTTGCTGAATCCTTTTGTGTTTTTTGACTTTCAGGGACTTGTAGTTTTTGCCGTTTTGTTTACTCGCCCGTCGTGTTGACTTGTACGCTACGTGCGAGTTGACTGATGCGCGCGAGTTGATTGATGTGCTTGAGCTTATTGACGCGCGCGAGTTGACTTACGCGTGCGGGCTAATTGTTGAACGTGTTCGGACACTTGGAGCTGACGGAAGCGCGCGAGCTGATTGACGGGCGCTGTTGGTTGACGTGCGCGGGCTTACCGACGCGCACGAGCTGATTGACATGCGCATGTTGATTGACGCCTGTTGGTTGACGTGCGCGGGCTTACCGACGCGCACGAGCTGATTGACATGCGCATGTTGATTGACGCGCACGAGCTGATTGCCAGCGCGTGTTGACCGACGCGTGCGAACTGATTTACACGCGGGTGCCGACTGTTGAGCGCGCAGGCCACTTAGTTCACCGTTTTGCTTTATGTGCTTGTCGGTGTCAGATAATCCTCTTAGACTCGGATAACGACGTTCGTCGTCTTCTCTCCGTCTCGAGCTGTGTGCGGACACCTATAAGCATTTTTAGACGCCTACGGTATACACATTATTTATAATCCGGTGTTCCATGAGCATACTAAACACATTGAGGAGGACTGTCATATTGTCCGAAATGATTATTGTCCTCATCATATCTATCTTACAATAATATCAAAAGATCAACTTGGAGATATAGTCACTAAGACACAAACTACCACTCAACTGCTTTATTTTTTGTCCAAACTTTTGGTATTTGATTCACCTTAAGTTTTCTGGGTAGGTGTTGTTTTTTTTTTTTTTTTGGGGGGGGGGGGGGCGTAAAATAGTTTATATTTATGTATGTACAAGCCCAATATTGGCCCACTCTGACCCATGTCTTCTCGATGATTATGAACCCTATTATAGCTGAAAGCCATGTGTTGTCTATATATTTGTATCATATTCTCAGTTCAGTACAATAACACATATTATTTTTCTCCTGATTATCAATACTTATTAGTGTCTTTTATTCTGTGCAGTTGAAACCTACCTTCAATCCAAGTTACATCCATAATGAAGAATCTTCAAATGTAATTCCTCAAGATTGGCATATCAATGGAAAATGTCCAAAAGGGACAATTCCTATCCGAAGAATTCAAGAGACTCATATCCTCAGATCCTCTTCACTTGCAAGTTTCGGGAAAAAATATCCACCAAACTTTCATGATCTAAATGTTCCTCCATCAGCTGGCGGAGAACATGAGGTATAATTAAAAGACAAGCAACACTGATTTTAAAAACTTATTTAGTGTTCCTTAGATACTAGTCCCTCAATTTTTTGAAGTTTCTCATAAGTCCCTCAGATCCTATGGGTCTTGTAATTTGATCCCTCAATGACCAGAACACCCCTTAGATTACGTTATCCTTAAAACCCCTTCATGTTAAAAAAACATTAGCTGAGGGGGGTTTTGGTTATTAAGGGACTTAATTACAAGATTCTTTAGAATTTGAGGGATAAATCAGCAATTTCAAAGATTTGAAGAACTAATATGGAATTCTTAGAGATTTGAGAGACTAGATTCTAGATAAGGGCGAATTTCAGAAAACAGCTCTTAGTTTCCCAAAATACCCGATTTAACTTTCAAAATGTCACAAATGCTCCTTAATTGTTGGGGTTTTCAGTAGATCCTCTTTAACTTTCAACATTTTTCAAAAATTATCCTAACACGTTAACCATAATTTTCACATGGGTGGATGAAATGCATAGAGGGATATGCTTTCTAGTGAAAATAGTTGTTCGCGCTTGTAGGGATTTTTTAAATAACATTAAATGTTGAAGTGAGTTTTCCGAGAACCCCAAAACTTAATGGAGCGTTCTGTGATATTTTAAAAGTTAGGGATGGTCATCGGAGAAGCCCCCAAGCTTAAGGGGGGTTTTTTGTGAAATTTACACCCATTCTGTTTAGTAGATTTTTCTAACAGTTTTATAAGTCTGTTTTCATAAATTGGACTGATTTTTCTTGTAGCATTCTTTAGCTATTCTACGTGGAGGTCCATTCTATGGAACTAGATGTGACATAAACGCATGGAATCCTAGAGTTGAACCTGGTGATTTTAGCCTTGCTCAGATTTGGGTCACATCAGATAATTATAATCGAAATACTGTCGAAGCAGGATTGATGGTAATATCATTATTATTATTTTCTTTCAACTTAACCAGTAATTTAAAGTGAAATAAACTTAAGCAGATCGGGAACTCTATGCACTAATCTTTTTATCCATTCAATTTTATTTTATTAATGTGTGATACTCATAAAAACTATGTTGATGTGTATCACGTATCATGGATGACAGAGAAAAATCAAAAGATCAAAAAGTTGATGTGTAGATCCCTTAGCCCACTTAACTCTGTTGTACTTTTTTTCCCAACTTAAATATAAAAGCTACGTATCTTAGTCAGTTGTTGAAGGGTGCTTTTTTAATTATTAGATATTAGCTAAATTAGTTTTAAACATAACACAATATCTAAAAAATTGTGGAAGAAGAAATAATAAATTCTACTTTACAGAATTTCTTAAGATAAAATATACAAAGACCTTCGATGTGTTATTTTCATGTTATTTTAGACTTATCTTTTCCTATATCTCAAACGCAATTGTATCTTTCTTTCCATGGTTTATTCAACTCATAACTAAAATTATGGTGTGATATTATTTCAGGTCAATCCCCAACTTTATGGAGACAATGCCACTCGGCTCTTCACATATTGGACGGTTAGTTTCATAAATCTTTCATATGTGCATAACTTTTTCCTTTCTTTTCTTTCTTTCTCTTCCCTTTTTTTCTTTCATATGTGCTAAGCTTTTTTTTCTTTTGGTTTCCTTCCTTTGTTGTTGTTGTTGTTGTGGATTATAACTGCATTCAAGGTAATTAAACAAACTTTCTATATATTGGGTTTATTGGACATATACAACTTAGTAGGTTTTTTTGGTAAATGAAGAAAACTTTGAGTTTATAAGCAAAAACCTCTAGAAATCAACAGTAAATCCCCACTGAACTTTGTGTTGGGATTGTGTCTTTGACTCTTTGTAGAATTTCATAAAAATTAGACAGGGTTAGAGATTTATCATGATTAGGAGATTGGGTCTCATTATGATTAGAAATTTAAATCATATTTTAGTTAGGAAGTTAGGGTTAAGATAGGATTTTGATTTTCCTATATATATTCTTCAATTGTTGAAGGAAAAACCAGGAGAGAGAGAGAGAGAGAGAGAGAGAGAGAGAGAGAGAGAGAGAGAGAGAGAGAGAGAGAGAGAGAGAGAGTCAATATTTTAGTAATTTAGGGTTAGTAGAAGGCAAATCCTGATTCAAGAATATTATGTGAGAGGCAAGAGTTGCATAGTTTCTGTCCGTATAAAAGATTACAACATTGAGAGAGGATTTCATAGTCCTTGTTTGTTTAAAATATTGTAAGGAGTGGATTCTGTAGAGAATTTGAGCGTTGATTATGTATGTAAGGTTAAGAGATTGAGAGACGAGAGTTGATTGGTTCATTGTAGTTCTCCTGTTACATAGTAGATTTCTCGTATTATTATCTTGTGAATGTAGGTCAAAGTTGGTCGATAGAACCACGTAAATCACGGTATATTTCTTCTTGATTGTAGTTCAGGATGGTTTGTGACAAAGTGATTAGGTGTTTGGGTTTTAATTAGGAGTTTGGTGTTTTGATTCATATCTAACGGTCAAAATTGATGTCAATAAATGGGTGAATAGGAGTCAGATTTTAGTGATCCAAGAGTTGATTATGAGGTTTTTGAGTGCTCTTAACACTATGGGAGGGGTTGCTTTTTTAGATTTTGTTTGAATTAGTCAAAAGATAGAGGAAAGTTTTGATGATGATGACAAGATAGATCTGATAGCAAATACGATGAACGAGCATGTGATGAATGAGACTGGTGTAAAGACATATTAGGTGGAGTTCGCAAGCAGGCACGACCAAGTGACACACATGGAGATGGAGATTGTGGCATTGGATTTGAAGATGATGAGTGCTAATGTTTAGTCTAAGCCAATCGATGGAGAAGATGAATACATCCAGCTCGTCGTATGGAGCATGAAAGGTGTAGCGATATAGTTTGAGATGAGCGACAGGTGGATCACAAGGATAGTAAGTGGAGAGAGACTATTTTCAGGCTCAAGTTGGGAGGAGAAGAATGGTTGATTTGCTTCTAATGTTAGACGTGGCTGTGGATTGTCTAAAAATTACTGCAGACAATTGATTCTCATCAAACACCGATGATGGAAGTTACAATTTGATAGCTTCCAGAATGCTACAATTTGAAGACTTTCACGTAGATCGATGAATGTTACAATCTGATGACCTTCAACAGCCTTCACAATAAACATCAGGAGTTACAATCTGATGAGTCTCATATTGTCAAGGAGCCAAGACGAAGGTTATAAGATGACGATCTCTTCAAATCAAAACACAGATATCTCTCAAACTGTAAGGAATTTAGCGAAACTGACAGAGTCAAACTGAACCCTTTGGGCGGGTTTTGCCAGCTCTGTCTCATCGAGATAGTCGATTTTTATATATAATTCGTCCAATTCTGACTTACGGTCTAAAAATTATGACCTGTTCTTTACAGCAAGTTATGTTCTGACGTCCGTCTGCAAGACTGGACTTCGCCTGAATATTGAACTTAGTCTGAAGCTCGCTAAGCTCACCTGGGGCTCATGCCCGCGTTCCAAAGTCAAAACACAAAGGTCATTCGCAGCGTTCAAGTTCAAAACGCAGGGTTCATCCCCAGCGTTCAAGTTCAAAATGCAGGGTTCATCGCCAGCATTCCAGTTGAAAACACAGAGTTCGTGGACTCAAAACATAGAGTTCATTTCTGCATCCCAACTCTGTATTTTAGACTTATAATGCTATGCGAACATGGCGTTTTCAGCCTAAAATAGGCCCAACTCTGCGTTTTAAGTCTAAAACGCAGAGTTTGGGCCCAGAACGCTATTTTCAGCGTTTGACTCGTTCAAAGAACAAACTGAACGATTTCAAAACTATTTTCCCCACGATCTGGGGAGAGATTTAAGGGGTTGTTACACCCCCATTATTGAGCGGATTAAGGGGCCGGTTACACCCAAAATCCCCCTAAAATATCAGAAACTCGATTGAGTCCAAGGGCAGGGATCTGGAATTTGGAGATCAAAAACTCTTCCCGAAAGCTTCGCGGGGATGACTCTTTACTAGTTTATGAGGACGGAGGACCTCCCGTAGGGGGTTTACTACACAAGGCCCATGCAGAGGAAAAGCTTTATCCCAGCATGCAGGACACATCGATAATTAGAAATTCACGAATTAGAGATGCTGTAATATACTCTTTCCTGTATTTTAGACTTATAATGCTATGCGAACATGGCGTTTTCAGCCTAAAATAGGCCCAACTCTGCGTTTTAAGTCTAAAACGCAGAGTTTGGGCCCAGAACGCTATTTTCAGCGTTTGACTCGTTCAAAGAACAAACTGAACGATTTCAAAACTATTTTCCCCACGATCTGGGGAGAGATTTAAGGGGTTGTTACACCCCCATTATTGAGCGGATTAAGGGGCCGGTTACACCCAAAATCCCCCTAAAATATCAGAAACTCGATTGAGTCCAAGGGCAGGGATCTGGAATTTGGAGATCAAAAACTCTTCCCGAAAGCTTCGCGGGGATGACTCTTTACTAGTTTATGAGGACGGAGGACCTCCCGTAGGGGGTTTACTACACAAGGCCCATGCAGAGGAAAAGCTTTATCCCAGCATGCAGGACACATCGATAATTAGAAATTCACGAATTAGAGATGCTGTAATATCCTCTTTCCCATAACTTCTCATACCAGACCAACCCACTGAAATGCAAATAGGGATAAAAATGTGGCTAATAGCACAAAAGAGAGATCGTCATTCATCCTTTGGAGTAGTCTTTGGCGCTTTCATCCTTGACTTATTAACCAATTTTTGGTTCAAATCAACTCTATTATAGAGTTTAAACTCGCTCTGAGTTCTTAAACTCGTTAAGAGTTTTTTTCAAACTTGCCATACAAGTTATCCTCGATATCAATCAAGAGGAATCAACCATGTTCCAGTGAAACAAGATGTTCGGATCATCAACAAGAAGCAAACTCGACGCAAGCATTCGAAGGAGGCATCTCATCGCCACAGTGAAGAACCCGGTTTTAAACAAATGGGAGGGTCTCTGTCGATCCTCTTCTCTTTTGTAATTTGGGATTCCGATTAAGAATATTGTAATTTCTTTTTCTAAGCTAGTTAGAGAGAGATTGCATTGAAAGAATTGTAACTCATTCTTTTTCTAAGCCAGTTAGAGAGAATAAAATAAATTTGATTCTCTAAATTTTCTTCTTCTAATTTTCCCACAAACAAAAGATGGCGACTCTACTAGGGACTAGCTTTTTCACCATCAAAGAAGTGGTGGCGTAATCTGACATCAAGCTCGTTGGAATAACGGTCGAAACTTTGATGGTGAAGCCAAGTATGAGGAATTGCTCTCCTCCAGATCCATTATCCCTAAGGCTATGCGCAAGATCCACAAAGTCTCTAAGGAGACCAAATCTCCAATTGTTGCTGTATTACCAAAGGAGGATTTCCCCTTTGGCCTAGATGGCTTCAACATCCCCTCCTCTAAAGGAGTGAGGTCGGCTTCTGCCAAACTCGTCCAACGAATAGAAAATTCTACACCCGCGCCAAAGCGACAGGTATCAGGCCACAAAAGGCCCATTGCAGCGACCAACTCCATCAGCATAGCTGATGCCACTGCAAAAGCCTTGAAGCAGACCGAGAAGAATGATGCTCGACGAAGGAGGAGATCCTGACAATGAGCACAACTCTAAGAAGCCCGATCCTCCAATCAACACGAGCTTCGTGTTTGTGAGTCGAAACGCAACCCTGTGCTCGGCGTTTCTACTACGAAACGTGGGCCTCATGTTCATGAGCCCAAACGTGAGCTCCGTGAAAGCCAAGTTAAACGCAGCTTTTAGGAGCGCATTACTTCACCAAAACGCAGCTCTCAGGAGCGTGTTACTCAACAAAAACACAGCTCTCAGGAGCGTGTTACCCAAATAAAACGCAACCCTCAGGAGTGCGTTCCAGAACCAAAACGTAGATTTTAGGACTACGTTTCATCACCAAAATTTAGATCTGAGGACTGCGTTTCACCAGAAAAATGTAGATTTTAGGACTATGTTTCATCAACAAAACGCAGACTTTGGTCTTGCGTTATTCAAGCTAAACACAACCCTTGTGTTCTTTCTTTGAAATGCGATGTGATTCGTCGTGTTCAAAAAGATCAACATGGATTTAAAATTAATGTTTTCCAAGAAGTTGTCTCATCCACTGATGGACAGGGGGTTCCATCACTAACCTCACGTCCTATGAGAGGTTCATCCCAAGTCTCTGACTTATGGGAATTTCTATCGAGAGAAAGACCGATACGACAAGTCCCTCATTCATGTCAATGCAAACGAATGATTTCTACGGTCCTCTCAGGCTGCCATTGCTATTCACATACAGCCAAGCCATCGGTGTTCAACCGACCAATGAACGTCGCTTTGCCCAACAACCGATGATGTTCCTACAAGAAGGCGACTTCAGGGGAAGAATACTTTGGAGTCACTTCTAACATGGTGAGGAGAGGGAGATCATTAGTCTCTAGCTCCGATGAGTCAGAGAAGGATTAGTCTCTTGTCTTGAATAGGTCTGATGGAATCTATCGA